AGTTAAACTCAAGTCGTTTTCATTTTCAAGATCCTCCTCGCTAAATGGCATTTCCCTTTCTTCCTCTCCAGACCCCCAGCTCCGGCGGTAACTTTCGTCATCCGGCAAATCGCTTTCCGACGCGTTCGAGGGGATTTTCGAGGTGATCAAATAAAATAGTAAAAGTTGACATTTGATGAAAATAAACCCTAGGAAAAAAATACCCGATAAGGTAAATAAAAAAGGATCCTCCATTCTATGTAAATGAAGTAGCTAAAGATACTCTGTAGAAAATAGAAAGTAATCTAAGAAAATAATAAAACTTAAGTGATTGTTATCGGATGAACTAAAATGAGTTCTGAAACGATTAATGTATATGAAAATATTATAGAAGAAAAGGCTTGATTAGTGTAGCTAAAAAATAGACAACTGCATGAAGTATAAATGAATGAATTTCACATATGCACTTGTTTCTCCTCGTAATTAGCTTCTTTTTTTTTTGAGAGAGGGGGAGGGAAGGGGTAAATTAAAAGGCGAAAATCGTCAAAGGTGGTTAGATTTTAGAGTTTTAAAGTGGGTATTAAGGTGAATGTGAAGTAAGCAATTATAAAAATGGAAGGATATTTCATACACCTCCATGGAATTCAACGACATAAAGAGAAAGCTATCATCATTTTTCAAAACCAATAATAATAATGATGATGGTAAACAGAGATAGGCAACAAGGAAATACATATAGAATAGTTTTTTTAACATTCCCACGAACTGATAGTTTTGATAATGAAACAAAATCTTATAGTGTTCGATAGTAACAATAACAATAAAGGTGGAAAAATTAAAAGATAGAAGAAAAAGGAAAGAAGATGTGTCTAAATATCGGAGTTCATAATGCATTTTTCTTTTTGATGTTATTTAAGCAATCCCAGAGTGGAAATAATAATAATAGGAAATTTTGTGCCCCTTTTTTTCTCTTCCTTAACGTATATTCATTTCATATATTATTCTAATTTATATGGAAATTTTAATGATTTCTATGGGAAAAAATAATGTCAAATGCAAAATAGCCGTTTGCAAACACTTTCATCATAAATATACAGTCTATAATGAATTACGTAAGATAGGAAGATATATATATTTATTCCAAAGGTTATGCTTTTTCATTCCTTTTCCCCTTCTTTTACCTTTCTTCAGATTCAAAATAACTAAAGATCTATTGCATCGGTGTGATATTATTTTTGTCTTTTATCTCTTCCTACATTCTATACTTTTATCTAGGAACTCATGATAGGATATAGCTAAACTACATAAGTGTACAGTTATTGGTTTTCTCATTTTTTTCCTATTTTCCTCATTCTGATGAACACTGACTGTTACTCTAAGGGTGCCACCAGGGGAGTTGTTTGTGTCCATCTCATTACGATAGCAAGACAAAGCAAATGTGAATAATTCGAAACCACGCCTGCCTTTCTACAAGGTTTTTTTCAGTCGACAATAATTCATTATTCTTCAAAGCGCTGAGTACGATAATTGAAAAAGTTGGGAAATCAATCGATGAAATTTGGCTGGAAATGAGAAGTGGCAATACTACTTTAGCAGCTAAGAAAATAAGAAGTAATCGACGGCCTTTTTGATTAAGCGCTGCCTTTTTCAACGCGCGCTCGTTATTATCATCCGCATCAAGCCCCTCATTAAAACCACAACCAGCATCGCTTATTTTACTTTTGGATGGGATTATCCCGTTGATTGCTTTTATGCCTCGTGAAAGATTATCGAAAGCCTTTTGATAAAGATGCTGCTCATGTGCTGAGGAGTTCATCAGTGATGCTCTTGGACTCGCTCTGCAATCCTCTTTATTGGTATTATTTGCGATCATTTTCGATGAGATTAGCTCTTCACTCTCTCCTAAAACACCCAACTCTTCCTCTAAAAGATACTTATACGTGCGCATATCCACACCGCAAAGATACCCACGACGATTCCAATCGAGAAGATCAAACATATCGCGCAATACCTTCGTCCGACGAATCCCTCGATGACGAAGCGAAGAAGAAGAAGAGGAAGAAATCAAACGCAAAGTTGGATGGGGTTCAACGTCTCTGCCTTTCCCTCCCTCTTTGGGGGAAGAGGAGACCCCACCGCCGGGTGATTTCAATCCAACCACCCCGGGCGTTTCCGCGCGTTGGGACCCTGTCCATGTGGGATGCTTTGCGGAAACGACCTCGCCCAGCCTCACTTTCTCCCCCTCCCGCGCGATCTCCCACTCCTTGGCGGCGTTGTAGAAGCTCTCCACTTCCCTCGCCGTCAGCCGAGCGCCGGTGCGGTGGTAAAGGGTATGGGGCCGCTCGGGCCGCCAACCCACCCCAAGAAGCCTCGCCACGCTTTGACAAGCCTCCTCTGAAGGTTCGGGTTGACCCCAGAAGCCCTGCTTTCCGATTTGACCGGTCTTGTCCCCCAGAGGGGAGGGGATCACATCACTGTAACAGGAGCCCCGTTTTCCCCCTTGACCGCCCCTGTCCCCCAGTGGAGACGGGGCTTGTTCACTGTAACAGGAGCCCCGCTTTCGTGTTTGGACAGTCCTGTCCCCCAGTGGGGAGGGGATCACATCACTATAACAGGAGCCCCGCTTTCCCCTTCCACCGGCCCTGCTGTCCTGCAGGGAGGGACGGGAAA